AAATGAGGTCATAGGGCCCTAATCCAAAGAAACCAGTGCCCTCAGAAGAAAAAAAAACCCAAAGCTTGCTTGTCACAGAGCAATGACCATGAGGACAGAGTGAAAAGGAGGACATCTTCAAGCCAAGGAGGATGGCACTTGGTGCTCTGACCTTGATCCTGCACTGTTTTAGGCACCCAGTTTGTGTGAGTTGGTTCCGGTAGCTTAGGCTACCTGCATTGCAGTGTCTTCAAAATGCCTCAATCATAGCAGCAGAGCAGGGTCCCACGTCACCCACTGGCAATGCTGTCTCCAGATCCTTAGGTGGCCACTGGAACCCACACAGCAGTCCCACAGGCCTCCTGTCTCCACCACTCAGACCACAGTTATAATCGCATCTCAAGCTACTCCACCGGAGCCAAAAGGCGACAGCAGATAGTGTCTCACTTGCAGCACTGCCAGGAGAAGGTTTAGCGTCCCAGCTTGGTGGTGAATGGAGGCGGGCACCTGGAGTCAAAGGTACCAGGCTGATGGCTATTGTAGTGAGTTAGAGCAGTCTGCATAGCTCAGCCTACAAAAAAGACCCAGGGCAACAGCTTTCATAGTAATTAACACTGCAGGCAGGATTTTAAAATCCACTGATCCTCTGCTGAGCTGGGTCTCAGATGGCTTCAGCTTCTGACACATACGGGTCACAGCTAACAAAGCTGGTAACAGGGCACTCAGTGTTCATGTCCTGTCTAGGCCCCAGCCACATCTTCATGGACCTACCCTCTCCCTCCTGAGGTAGCATCTATGCAGTCCTTACTCAGATACACACTCAAGCCTCCACATCCACTGGCCCTGCCAATGCTGAAGGGAAGCTTTAAGAAGATTAAAAAGAAGAAGAAGAAGCAAAACTCAAAATATCCATTCACCAAGGACCATGAGGTACCCTGTGAATGAAGCAAAGCAAAGCCATAACTGATGTAGCCTCCCAATGTCTCGCACACACTAAGCCTCACGGATGCCCACCGTTTGAAGCTCATTCTTCTGGACTCAGACTGGAGGACTGTGGAGTTGGACCTTTGAACTACCTCAGGACCAAACAAGTACAGGCCTTTCCCCTTGTCTCTCTTTCCTGAACAAGACAATACAGCAGTTGTTTACATGCACTTGCGTTAAGTATTTATTATACAGAAGTCAGTGTGTGTGTGTGTGTGTGTGTGTGTGTGTGTGTGTGTGTGTGTGTGTGTAGTTACCATCATTTTGGTATTCGATGGAGGAAAGGCCCTGGAACCAGTCACCTGCAGATACCAAGGGACTGAATGACGCATAGTGTGCATAGTAGCCCTTAACAGTACTTAGTAAGCACAGTGTCTGAAGGAGCGATGCTTTCCAGCATGATTCCACCTGAACAGAGGGACCAGGAGGCTGGGTCCCTGAAGAGAAATCTCTTCAGGACTCTGGGAAAAGCCCTTTTGTAAAGAAAGTGAAAGCTCCCGGGAGGTGAACTCGGGGTGGGGTTTGCACCCTGAAAAATATGTTCATTAACTGCCAGTCAAGAACTCATCACCCCAGATGTCTCTCAGAGTTCAGCCTGTGATTCAAAGTAAAGACCAGAGACTCCAAAGGAAGACTGTAGTATCCGCCTGGCTCAGATGGGACACCGTCTGGGGTGGTACCTAAAGACCTAAGGGAACCAGAAGTTGAATCAGGTACCTGACTTCCATAGCTACAGCATCATGAGACAAACACACTGGTCAAGTCAACTCAAGGAGTTCTACACCCCCCAACCCCCCCACCCCACCCCCCCAGCATCTCTAAGGCTGCCAGAACCAACCCAGCTACCAGGAGCGCAGGAGTCCCAAGGTTTGCATTCGGATGCTCCGAAGGCCTTTAGCAAGTCTGTGCAAGGCCAAGGCTTCCTATCTTCTGATGCTCCCAAGAGGCGAGGCTGCATCTGACTGATGCCGGTTTTCGCTTAGCATCCCCAGGCCCTAAGCTCCCACTGACCCCATTTTTCCTGGACTCCCCTTCCTCTCCCAAGACCCTGATATGATTCCCCGTTCCCCAGCACTCCATCCCCACTTACTGGTATCCCCTATCCCCAGCTCCCACACCTAGAACTGCCCCACAGCAATCCCTCCATAATCCACTGGCCAAACTGTGCTGAGAGGAGGGATTTGTTCTTACATCACCCTTCCCAAGTAGAACTTTATTTCAGACAGCGTCCTTCTAAAGCAACACTGAGCTCCAAAACCTGGAAGCTGCCTGCTCGAGCCTGAAAGCAGGGTTGTGCTTGGGGCATGCAAGCTGGGAGAGCCGTGCTTCAGATGTGTCTCGGCTACCTGCTTTCTCCCCAGGTGCTGGGGGTGGGGAGTGAAGGAAGGGGGTGCCTCTGTGTTCCTGCTCTGGTCCTGCTCTGTGGGGGCGGAGCAAGCTGGCTCGGTTCAGCACCAGCTGGTGAGCTCGCCAGATCTTTCTCTACCCCCACGGCACCTCCTCCTCTCACCTAAAATGGGAGGAGAGGGGGAGGAAGGGCTGATTTTTCCTCCTGGGCTGAATTTATCCCAACTACATGCAGACCGGCTGCGGAAGCCCGGGGAAGATAAACAAAGAGGGCTTGTTAGGATTTTTCAGAACTCTCTTGGTGTTTCTCAGCCCCCTCGTTTTCTGCCTGACTCCTGCCGCTCAAAGTGCATCGGAGGGGCGCTCGGCGGCTCGAGGCTGCCCACCTGCTCTCAAGCATCCTTAGAAACCGCCCCCCACCCATCCCCTCGCTAAGCTGTGTTTCAGCCTGCCATTTTCCTAACAGTTCTCAAGTTGGCCTTCGCTAATGTGGCTCTAGCTCTCCGTTAGGTTTTAGATGTGTTGGTTCAGGAAGACACCGGGATAGATTACTGGGGACTAAGTATTTGTTAGTGCCATGGACAGAGAGAGATGGGGGTGGGCATCGGCATGGCAGAACCTCAGGCCCTAGCACCGGAGAGATGCATCGCGATCGGGTCTCTGAGAGAATCAGTCACAATGACAGGGAGCTGTTTCTCAGACCTTTTGAGGATGGAGGAGGTTCAGAGCACCAGCCTGCAGCCAGACTTCCTGACCCCAAGGCAGGAGGCTGGGGAAAGGATGCAGCAGCCCTTTGGTGCATACCTACTTCCTAGGTGAGCTGTCCAGACACCCAAGTATAGGGTGGGTCTCACAGTGTCCCACTACTGCCAAAGTGAAGTAGAAGAGGCCCCAGCTAACATAGGTATTTAGACCCTGAGGCTGCTCCTAAGCTTTCTCTAGAGCAGCAGTATATCTGCTGTGTCTAGTGTTCTCCATTCCCCTATGGAGCTTTGCGGGAGAGAAACACGGATGGCAACAGCCAGCAGGGAGTTGGGGTGAGTAGAGAGCTCAAATGTTCACCATGGAGCACACTAGGCTTGGACCAAGAGACAGAAAGGAAAGTCTTGGGAGATCAAGACACACCACCTTGTTCAAACTTCACTGTAGCCTCCTCCACAATAAGAAGCTGCTGGGTATGCTCCCTTGGAAGGTGGGTGGATTCCTCCGGTCATGAGGAATTGAGTCAGGGTGTACTTGGTAATAGCCCTAACCATAAAGAATGGGTAACCCCAGCCTGACCATTCTCCCCACTTACAGAAACAATATGCCCAGGTGTTGAAAACAACATACCTTGCTCCCAGTCAAACCACAGACAGAGACAGAGACAGAGAGAGAGAGAGAGAGAGAGAGAGAGAGAGAGAGAGAGAGAGAGAGAGAGAGAGACAGCTGTAACTTCCTGGTAGCTACCTATGTATATGTATATGACCCCAAGCCCCTCTAAATACACTCAATGTTTAGCCTGGAGGGTGTTTATTGCCTTGCTGTGAGACACAGGCCACTGAGGGGCACCTGGTTTTGAGTGAGGAGACATAGGGTTAGCATGGCAGGAGCCAGGAGGAACTGCTGCAAACAGCAGTCACAACGTTATGCGTTCATATTGCCCAGGCATTCTGGAGTGACTGTGCCTAGCTGTGGCCAAGGTCCAAGGCTTACTCTCCAGACTGCCCTGTGACTCACACAGGCCTCAACCTTACGTCAACCTTGTATAGTCCTTTCCCGCTGACACCAGTGGTTTCTGCTGTTTAAGGCTGACTTCCAAAGACATTGCACTCTGATGATCCTACCCACTCTCTGATTCCTTTCTTTTTCTCTTTTTCTGAGCTAGGGTGTCACTATGAGTCTCAAACTCAGGCTCAAACTCCTGCCTCGGCCTCCCAAGTGCTGTGATGACGGCATGGCCAAGTCAACCATACTTCTTTCCAAATGCTGTCTGCCTGCCCAAAAGCCAGAGGCACAGCCACCTCACTTAGGCATCCACTGTCAAGTTAAAAGGGTCTAAGGCCTGGGTGTAGTGGGAAGGAGAGGGTATAAGCCACCAGGCCTTGCACAGGCCCCTACTACCCATTGCTCCTCCAGAACAGCAGCAAGGATTAACATGTTATGTGGGTAGCTGAAGACATCCAAGACAAGACCATCAATCAGAGTAAGGCACCATGTCATGAGAAATCCCTATACCAACAAGCCTTCTGAGTGGCTTTGGGGCATTTTGGTTCAAGCCTAAATGTTCTACTTTGACAGTTACTTCTAAGTGGGGCTTTTATTACCATAAGCTAGGTGCCCAGTGACTACAGTGACTGTCAGCACTGTGCTCCATGTCGCTGTGACTAATGACCACCATCCTTTTATACTGACCAGTCAAAACTCCAGCTTTGTTTCCTTCTACATCTGCCCTTTTCAGTGACATTTATCCCTATGCCCAACCTTCTAGGGACTTCTGTCAGTGTTAACAGATCAAACCAATGCAGGGTGGACCAGAACATCCTTCAAAGCCTTGAAATGACTTGGTGTCTCAGGAGAGTCACAAAGAAGAATTCCTTGGTCTTTGGGAGAGCAGTCATACAAGATGTCAGATCAATCATGTAACTCATGGAGACCTGTGGGAGACACTGAGAAACTCTGCTGGAATTAAAGCCTGAGCAGGTTTTTTCTTTTTAAAATGGTCTTTGAATACAACAGCGACACTCCGAGACCCAGGGGCCTAGTGTAGACAGGAGCTGGTCTCTGATTATTAACGCTCCGGAGCCTTGTAATTCACCCTCGATGGTAGGAGGCTCTAACAGCACACGGCCCCTGATGTCCCCAGAAGCCCCTTGCTGATGACATCCAGATGTGTCATCCTTCCATGGGTCTGATTAGCTGTAGAACGTTGTACTTCCATGTTCCCAGGATGCATCTGAGTTAGCTCTGTGGCTAATTGGGTTTGTATCTGGCAGCGGTGACATCAAAAAGGGGTTTTGTAGTCAATTATGTTCTTCTGGAACACACAGGAAGAGGTTGCCCTGTCAAAGCCCAGGCTGGTCTCTACCTTAATGAGGAGCCCCAGACAAAGGCACAAAAGGACATTATTGTCCCTGAGTTCCTGTCTTTAGTGGCTTCTGTTCAACAAGAAGCTGGCCTCAGTGGGTGCAGGAGCTGGCTCTCTCCTGCCCCCGTCACGGCCTGCCCCGCCCTGCCGCAGGGAGCACATCCAAATGTGATCGAGTGCATCACAGCCACTTAACAAAGTCAGTCCCCAAGGAAATGAAGTATGGAGACTGTTCCAGCAGCCTGGCAACCCAGGGATGCCTTTAACTGCGCCAAAGCCAGGAAATGGTCACTTACAAAACCAGTTACAGCCCCCACGGCACCCATAACCCTAGCCACATGGCACACACCTGGAGGAAAAGAGGTAGTGTGCCTCCACATGGTGTTCCCACCCGACTCTGGTCCACCGCAAATCTTCCTTCAAACGCTTTAACATCCTGAGTGTGGGCGGAAGTGACGCTCACTTCTGTCCTCCGGAAGAGGCGGTCTGTTTATAGAAAAAGCAGCAAGTTAGGTGGCTGACTCCGGGAGGGCCTCTTGGCCACTCAGAAAATACAGGAGTCCTTGGCTTTTTGCACCCCCAACCCCTGGCCCATGGCCCTGCCTTGGGTCTTGGTAGGTCAACTGTCACTTTTTCAGAATGCTAGAATTTTCCAAACCTCTGACCAAAAGCTCTGGAGTCCTCTCCTTCATCAATATTCACATTCTTTGCTCAGCAGTGGCCAGGCTGGGGGGAAACGCGCTCCCTCTGGGTGACGGGTAGGGTGGGCAGCTGTCATGGGCGGGGGGTGACAATCTGAGGGGACTTCTGGTACACGCAGCAGTGGGAGTGAACTGGCTTGTGGTCAGTGGTTGGTGAGGAGGGAGTCTTTCCTAGGACAGGCAGCGTTCAGCCTGTGCCGTGCCAGCCCAGGCCATGAGCCTGAGGGCACCCTACCCTATGTTTGCCTCTAGGATCCCACGGACTTCCTGTTACAGTGATGTGATGCGGTCCCGCCACTCCCATCGTGGGAATCAGAACTGCACATTTCCTGCCTTTTATCTTCTGGGTGCAAATGATCAAACCAAAGCACCCCCACTGGGGCAAGGGCCAGAGTTGTGGCTCTGGTTACAGAGAGCTCTCCAAGAAAGTGCAGGCAGCCTTCGTGGGTGGGGGAGGAGTGCCAGGGAATGGTGGACCAGGCGCCACCTGCTCGCCCCAGGCCAGCCCTCCTCAGGCTGAGGACAAATCTATTGCCCAGACACGGTACACAGCCAGTGTGGGGGCACCCACTACAGTTGATACAGCAAGATTGCTAATTCTGGATTCCTCCCTGGGGAGACTGGGAAGCTTCACTGTGGAATTTTATCATTAGCTGGTGAGCATCAGACCCACCCTTGACTGCTGCCCAAGTGGAGTTTTGAAACCGAGCCCAACTTTGAAATGGCAGATTGAGAACATAAACACAGACCGTGATGTACCAGGCGACTTTAAGGTGATGAAAATGATCTTGTAATTTAGGTCCCTAAACAGGCGTCCCAAGTGATCCCCCTGGCAGGGCAGGGACATAGGTCTATTTGCATTTATTCAGGTCTCACACAGAGGGAAGAGTTGCTTTGATAAAGTATGACAATTGCAAGCTCTGGTTGCCTCGCTGAATTTTCTCCTTAACCCTGCCTGTTTTTCCTCTCTGTTGCCCCACTGTATCCAACCTGCCCCCACCCTCCAGTCCTCGGAGGTTTTTCCCCTGGGCCTCTCATCCCGAAGGTGCAGCAAGGATCTGGATGGTGCTGACTCCCAGGAAACACCCTTGCATTCTTGCAGCAACCCCTCGTTCTCCCAACCTGCTTCCCAGGTCTCCCTTCGCTTTCCTCCTCCCACGGACGTCCTTCCGCCTTCCTCCGCCTAGCTCTTCTGCGCCATTTGCCCTTCACAAACCGTAGGGGAGGAGGCGGACGGCCTGCTTCCGCTCTGGGAGGGATCTGCAGAGCCTTGGTTCCCACGTATATGGGCCAAGTGCAGTCTGTACATGGATGTGTGCCACTGAGGATGCTGGTCAGAGTCACCCCTGAGAATGCACCCCTATGGGGCTGTTCTAAGAAACAAGACCTCTTCTCTTCAAGTAGCATGCTAATGGCCTTCGGTTGGGAAGCCACTCTGAAGGTGCTGCTCGCTTTCCCCGGGAACACAGTCTCGTCACATTTTTAAGAAGCGGGGCTTGAAGCCCTCTGAGTGGCACAGGTGTCTCATGGTTCTTGCAGAATTAGTTCCTGTTAGGCCTGGAACCAGTCTGGCTGGAAGCAAAGACTGCCACAGCCAACTCTCCCATTTGTGACACCCCCTCCTAAATGTCCCTCATGTCTGTCTGAGCTCCCACGATCCTGAGAAAGAGGCTGAGGCAGGGACCCTGTGTGCTGGTTTTCCTCTTTGGTTTTTTTTTAATCTTTTTATTGCATTTATTTATGTGTGCATGCACACGTGTGTGCATGTAGCAGTCACAGGACAACTGGTGAAAGCTGTTTCCTCCATGGGTCTCGGGATGGGATTCACGTAGATCAGCCCGCAGCAGACATCTTTATTATCCGACCTGTCATGCTGCCCCACTGTGCACTGTTTTAAGAGTCACTGCCATGAAGCTTGGAAGTCGATCCCTACAAGCTGGCCTAGGCTATGAGAGACCCTGTCACCAAGCTAAGGGGGTCCCTGGAAGCTGTCCACTACTCTGGGAACAGGGCCCCCAGCACCAGCCAAAGCTGCCTTTACTTTTCTTGAAATGCAAAGCAAGCAATATGGAGGTGAATTTTATCAAAATAAGATTAACTGCTTCTGAAAGCAGTTTTAGAGGAAAACAGAGAAAAGGGCCAGTATGCACAAAATAGCATAGCCATTATTGCTTCTGTCACCAAAATCTGAGGTCCGCACTGCTTGCTGTTCTGCTGCCAACCTGGTGGAGGGAGCAGGGGAGACCCCCATCGCAAGTCTCTACCTCAGGGGCAAAGGAGACCCCCGTCTCAAGCCTCTGTCCAGGGGGTATAGTAGGGGTGCAGACAGCTTTTATAGGAGGAGTGACAAAAATTCCGGACAGCGGGCGGGAAGTCCTCATGCTGGGTGGGGCTCCATCGTCTAGAGGATGTGTCCCCTTTCCTAACACCTGAAGGAAAGTTTACAGTGGAGCTTGCTCTGCGGTGCTGGTTACCCTAAGGTTGACTAGCACTCACAGTGACAGAATGACAATGTGCAAACCAAGAGCTATGTCTGCTTGGCTGTCAGACTTCCAGCCAGAGGGCAACTGGTGATGCAGAGGAAGCCATGTGAAGAGGCTTTTTCTGCCTGTGCACACTCTTTCCCCTTTTTCTCTCACCCGCCCCTTCCTCTGAGGACTGAGTTCAGGGTCTTACACAAACCTGCTCTACCGCTGAGCTATTAATACCTTCCCAGATCTTAAACATTCTGGAGGGCAGGAGGATCAGGAGATGAAGGACATCCCCAAGCTACATAACAAGTTGGAGCCTAGGCTACAGGAGACCGTGTCCTGTGGCTAAAAGGGTCCTTGGAACCATCCCCTGTTCTCCGAGAGTAAGGGCTTGTCTTGGGTTAAGGAGCGGGAGAAAAGGACAGTTTCAAATGAACCCATTTATACATTTTACAGATGGAGTGGAGGAGATAGGACGTAGTGTAGAGTTTGTCTAGGAGACGGGTCATTTGGGAAAACATGGAATTTCCCCCCAAGTCTGGCAGGACACGACCCTTCTGAGAAGCCCTGTCTCCCATTCTGTCCAATAGCTCATTTACTTCCTCTGTCTTCCCCTTTCTCCTCCTCCTCTTCCGGGGATTGAGCACAGGCTACATCATCTGGAGGGCAGGTGGGGCTGCGTCCCTCCTCCCTGAAGAAAAAGCCTCTTGGGATGGTTTTCTCTTCTGGCTGGAAGTCTGGCAGCTAAGCAGACATATATCTTGGTTTACACGTTGTTATTCTATCACTGTAAGTATTAATCAACATTTGGCTTTTAGTCACAACATAGCTAATGCATAATTTTGTTTGCTTCATGGAAAATTAAATAAAGAATTGGCAGCACATTAAACAAATGGTTAAATTAATTTTTTTCTCCATGTCTTCAACAATAATCATCAATGTTCCCAGCAGACTACTGTGTTTATCCAGAGGATCCAGACGCTCCACCCCTACCATGATGAGAATTGCCAGTGTGACCTGGACTGTCACAAAGTCCAGCACATAGAGGGTAGTGATATGAATAGCACTGGTTATGGGTCATGTAAGAGGCTAATGAGGTCAATGCATTTAAAATAATATGACAAATGAAAACAGTGCTTTGAGGAAACTTGGCCTTGAAAAGTCTAGTTAGATACCTGTGGAGCTGTCACCTGAGTTCTAATTTATAGCAAGGTCTCTGTAAGAAGAAGAAAGGACATACACCGTCAATAAGCATATACTATCCTCCTCCCCCACACACACCCAGAGAGCCCTAGTAGCCCCACCCATTGTATGTTCACACACGAGCCCATCCTCCCTGTCATTCATGTACTCCCAAGACAAGTCACACAGACTTCAGAAATCCACGACTGTGAGACTAGCGCTTGTCAAGTGTACTCTGGCCTTCTCTAAACATGCCCCTGCATTTATTATTCTGCCAACGTAGAGCAAACTTAGACCATGTTCATGTGCAGAGCCCCCACAAACATGCCCATTCTGTATCAGAAGCCCTGGGAGAATTTGCTTTGATCTCTTCCAGACTGTTGCTCAAAGGGATTTAGGCCTGGGGCTGTCCCCTGAAGGACCAGCTCTTTGATAGTTGTCCATCTTTTAGCCAAAGGATTTGCAGGTGTTAGAACTCTGCATAGACAATGAGGAGACAGCCAGCTCTGTTGTCTGAGAAGACAGGAGAAAGGGATTCCATTAACACTCTAGCTCTGATTTTACATGTGTTGCAGCATCTACTTTATTCATTCTGGGAGCACGGTAAGCATTCATCTTTGGCAATATTAGGAGGCTTTGATCGTCACTCCAGTGCATAATGAAAACAGTGATCATCCAGCTAGATGCATTTCCAAAGGCTAATGATAGTCACAGTTGAAGATTCGATTGTGTTTCTTGCATTAATGTAATTAATTTCACTGCAAGATTACAGGAAAATCCTATTGTGAAAAAATACACCTAGGTTGAAAAATAACATTTAGGTGACGTCTTTACCTATACAATTCTGTCAGGAACCTCTTTAAAAAACAAAATTTTAAAAAAATAATTAAATTATCTGTTCCTGGTGAGGTAGATATAAAATACTGTACTATTAATGTAAGGTTTTTAAGAATTCTTCATTAATTTTATTTTTTGATAGTTTTTGTCAGCATGTCAACAGTAGAATATTCTTAGTCCAAATTGAAACTAATTAAAAGTTATTTGAGGAACACAAGTGAATAACAATGTTTAACATTTCACACCTCTCAGAATAGAAACTCAGGCAGCTGACAAATGGAGGGTGAAATGTTCATGATTTTGACTTTCCTAAATCACAGCAAAGACTAAAGTTTGCTTATGTAACTAACACAAATCCAGGATTCTACGTGGTCCAGTCTTTGCATTGCTCCGGTGGGGGGAAAAAAAAAGAATAGAAAACACATCTTTTATCTCTTGAGAAAATGCCAAAAATAGGAATGTGTTTCAGATATCTAGCAATGTTCCTTAAAACGGATACCCAGGCCCCAGGCTTCTCGGTCGCTGACGGTCCAGCCCGCCCTCCCTTCCTGCTTGGGTCAGCCTCTGCGCCTCACTCAAGTTCCTCCCTAAGCCAGTGAACCCGCCCCCTTTCACTGCCATTCAGCACAGCCGCCCAGCCACCATCGGTTTTTGCAGCCGCTGTGACTGACACCCTCGTGACAAAGAACATAGCTCATAATGGGCTCCGAGAGGCAGGGCACATTCAGTGTTCACAGGAGACTCCCTTTTCTTGGTCCGTGTCTGATCCAGGGATTGTGAAGAGCGAGGCAGAACAGCCCTTTCCCACTAAAGCATTTCCTGCATCGTCCAAGGGTCTCTGGCCAGCTGTAATTCCTGCTCACTGTTGTCTCGGTTCTGGTTTCTAGTGCTGTGATAAAATACCATGACCCAAAGCAACTTGGGGCTTGTTTCAGCTTCGAGTTCCACATCACAGTGCATTATCCAAGGGAGTTCTGTAGCTAGATAGAGAAGCTCAAGCCGGAAGTCAAGCAGAGGCCATGAAGGGCTGCTACTGCTGGCTTGCTCCTCCTGGCTTGCTCTCCTACCAGTCCCAAGGTGACATCACCCACAAGGAGCAAGTCAAGAAAATGCGCTACAGGCTTGCCCACGGGTCAATCAAGTTGGGGCATTTTCTCAACCGAGGTTCCCTCTTCCAAAATGATTCTGCCTGTGGCAAACTGGCATTAAAAAATTGCCTGCACCGAGCAGTTATTTTTGCCTTCTACAAGGAAAATCAAAGTGAAATTGTATATGTACTACTAAGGATGGGAAGTGAGAAGAACCGCCTTTGAGACACTAGGGCTTGCTCTTGTCTTAGGAGGCGATTGGTTGGGGTGCAATTTGAACCCTGAGCGTAGTGGATGGATCACCATTGGCATTAGAAACATGGATTCTGGAGCTGGGCA